AATTAGCCTAATTAGGGTTTAGGGTTGTACTCACTTGGAATCCTAGGCTCCAAACCAAGCTGAACAAGCGGCAAAGGCGATTGGACAGCGGCGGTTCCGCGCCGGCACAGTGGCGGTGAGTGGCGGCTCCGGCGAACGGCGGCGACGGTCTAGGCGATTCCACGGCCTAGAGAGGGAGAGAGGGACACGGCCAGAGAGAGAGATCAGGGCTGAGGGAGAGGGGCGAACCGGCGGCGAGCCGAGCTCGCGTGCTCGGGAGGAGAAGAAAGCCGGGCCGGGGCGGAGCTGCCGGGCGACACAGCGGTGCGATGGCGGAGCGAGGAGGACGGCGACGCCGGTAGCTGGTGGGGCGGCGTCGGGCGGAGGTGGAGGACGGTCGAGCGGCGTGCTGCGAAGGCGGGGAGGAGCTGCGGAGGTGGACGGGAGTCGGGGGAGAGAAGGGAGCGACCAGGCGACGGGGGCGGCCGACGGGACTGCTGGCGGCTGGTCGGGCGGCGCGGCGCGGCGGTCGAGCTGGCGACGGTGGCGCGCGTGACGGTCAGGCGAGCTCAGGCGATCGGTGTCGGGCAGCAGGGAAAAGGAACAGAAGCGGACGCAGAGGCTGGAACAGACGCGGCAGAGAAGAAGAAGAGAACGGAAGAAGAAAGAGAAGAAAAGGAGAAAGGAAGAGAGAGTGTGTGTCAGGGTAGGTCTGCATGGGCGTGGCTGAGGGGACGTCTGCATGGGGTGGAGACGTGCGCGGCCAGAGGAGAAAAGAGAGAGGAGAAGAAAGAGAGAGGGAGAGAGAGAAAGAGAGAGAGAGGGAGAGAGACGTGCGTGAAGGGACGTTGCACGGGGGTGGGTGGCGCGGCGCAGAGGAGAGAGGAGAGAGAGAGAGGAAGAAAAAGCTAGTTTTTGTCTTCGAGCGCGATCCAATGGACAGGGTTTAAACTAAAAATCGATTTAACGGTCACGATTCAAATTCGGAAAATGATCTAACAGTCCACGAAAAATCCAAAATAATACTATAGGACAAAGGGCCAAAATAAAATAACTCAAAACACACTACGAGGGAGGTCTACTAGTCCAAATGCGCACCCGGTTAAAATTTCACTTTCTCACTATTCTTGATAATCTCGACGTTGGCCACAATAATATCGACACCGTCCAATTTATTTCGTCCCGAAACTCCCGAAAATCGACTGCCAAGTTCGGGGTCTAAATAATGGCCAAATTCGATCGAGTGCGATTCTAGCAAAATCTCTATTTTAAAAACAAGAACCCAAGAGTGATCAGTTCCCGGGCGAGATTCTATTATAAGCGCACTGACGAATTACACGTTTTATAAATCCCAAAAATGGGCCGAAATTCGGGATGTCACAACTCTTCCCCCCTTACAAAAATTTCGTCCTCGAAATTTCTAATACAACCCAACTATTCGTACAAATGGGGATACTGGTGTCGCATCAACTCTTCACTTTCCCACGTCGCACCTTTGGTCCCATGGTGCTCCCAAATTACTTTGACCATCGAAATTTTCTTGTTCCGCAATACTCTTTCTATTCTGTCCTCGATCCGAACTGGCTTTTCCCACGTACGACACCCTGTAGTCCACGTCTATTTCTTCATAATTCAATACGTGGGTCGGGTCCGGTTCGTACTTCCTCAATATAGATACGTGGAACACACTATGAACCTACGACAAATTCGGCGGCAAGGCGAGATGATAGGCCAACGTCCCAATCCTTTTCAAAATCTCGAACGGGCCTATATACCTTGGACTTAGTTTCCCTTTCTTGCCAAACCGAGATAGTCCTCTCATCGGCGAGACCTTAAGAAATACATGGTCGCCAACTTGAAACTCCAACGGTCTACGCCTTCGGTCCGCGTAACTTTTCTGACGGCTCTGAGCTGTTCTCAACCTTTCCCGGATAGTCTTTACTATTTCCACCGACTGCTGAACCAACTCTGGACCCGTTATACTCCTTTCTCCTACCTCATCCCAACACAACGATGTTCTGCAAGCCCTGCCATATAGTGCTTCGAATGATGTCATTCTGATACTCTGCTGGTAGCTATTGTTGTAGGCGAATTCGACCAAATGCAGCTGTTCCTCCCAACCACCTTTAAAATCCAAAACACATGCTCGTAGCATGTCTTCCAATGTCTGAATCGTCCTTTTAGACTGGCCGTCTGTCTGAGGATGATAGGCCGTACTGAATTGTAACTTAGTCCCCATGGCCAATTGCAAACGTTTCCAAAAATTCGCAGTAAATCGGGGATCACGGTCCGATGTGATTGATACCGGTACTCCATGAAGACGAACTATCTGACGCACATATAATTCTGCCAACCTTTCTAGCTCGAAGTCCTTTCGCACCGCCAGGAAGTGCGCTGACTTGGTCAGCCTGTCCACTATCACCCAAATAGAGTGGTGTCCCCTCTGGCTCCTTGGCAATCTCGTTACAAAATCCATTGTAATATGTTCCCATTTCCATTCTGGGATTTCCAACGGCTGCAACATCCCACCAAGCTTACAATGCTGTGCCTTCACTTGTTGGCACGTCAAGCACTTAGCCACATGCCTGGCCATATCCGCTTTCATTCCGTTCCACCAATAGTGCTATCGGAGATTCTGGTACATCTTCGTGCTGCCCGGATGAATACTATAATTGCTCCTATGAGCCTCCGACAAAATCTCCTTCTTAAGCTCCAAATCATCGGGCACGCACAAACGTCCTCGAAACTTCAGAATTCCATCTTCGGACACTTGAAAGTCCGATTTCCTCTTAGTACCATCCATCTCTAGGGTCTTCTGAATCTCAGGGTCCGTAGACTGCAACGCCTTAATCTTGGCTTGCACTTCCGGTTCAATCCTTAACGTCGCCATTAGACTGGAGAGGTGTCCTACCTCGAATTTAAACTCTGAGTCTCGCGCTCCTTCCAATAAAATCCATTCTTTGACTAATAATTGCGCGATGCTCGATTTCCTGCTCAAGGCATCCGTTACCCGGTTGGCCTTCCCGGGGTGATACAATATGTCACAGTCATAGTCCTTCAATAATTCCATCCAACGTCTCTGTCTCATGTTCAATTCTTTCTGCGAAAACAAATACTTGAGGCTCTGATGGTCCGTGTAGATCTGAAACCTTTCTCCACATAAGTAGTGCCTCCAAATCTTGAGTGCGAAAATAATTGCTGCCAGTTCCAAGTCATGGGTCGGGTAGTTCATCTCATGAGGCCTTAACTGTCTCAATGCATAAGCAACCACCCTTCCATTTTGCATTAGCACACATCCCAATCCTTTGAGCGAAGCATCGCTATAGATTTCATACCCGCCCGGTCCTGAAGGAATCGTCAACACTGGCACCGTCGTCAATCTCTGCTTCAATTCCTGAAAACTCTCTTCGCACTTTTCCGTCCATTCAAACTTCATTTTCTTCTTAAGCAACTTCGTCAGCGGAGTGGCTATTGCTGAGAATCTTTCCACAAATCGCCGATAATACCCTGCCAGTCCTAAGAAACTCCGAACCTCAGTAACTATCGTCGGTCTCGGCCAATCCATTACTGCCTCAATCTTTGTCGGATCCACAGAGATTCCTTCTTCGGAAATTATGTGTCCAAGAAACGCAACTCGACTCAGCCAAAATTCGCACTTGCTAAACTTAGCATACAGTGCATGCTCTCTTAACGTCCTTAGAACCTTTTCCAAGTGTGCCTCATGTTCCTCGGGACTCTTTGAATACACCAAAATGTCGTCTATGAAGACAATGACGAACTGATCTAAGAATTCTTTGAACACCCGGTTCATCAAGTCCATGAAAGCCGCAGGGGCGTTAGTTAGTCCAAATGGCATAACCGTGAACTCATAATGTCCATACCTCATCCTGAATGCCGTCTTTGGGATATCCTCCTTTTGGATCCTTAACTAATGATACCCTGTCCTTAGGTAAATCTTAGAAAATACCGAGGCTCCCTGCAACTGGTCGAACAGGTCGTCAATCCTTGGGAGGGGATACTTATTCTTGACTGTCACTTGATTCAGCTGACGGTAATCGATACACAGCCTCAACGACCCATCCTTCTTCCTGACGAATAGCACCGGCGCTCCCCATGGAGACGCACTTGGTCGGATAAAACCTTTGTCTAGCAATTCTTGCATCTGAACCTTTAGTTCCTTCAACTCTGATAATGACATCCTATAAGGCGGCTTTGAGATTGGCTCAGTCCCGGGTGCCAACTCGATAACGAATTTCACTTCTCTTTCTGGTGGCAATCCCGGCAATTTCTGAGGAAAGACATCGGGAAAGTTACACACCACTGCTATATCCTCTAGCCGCACTTCTTCTGCCGACGAATCGACCACACTTGCCAGATAACCTAGGCAGCCCTCATCCAACAACTTAGTTGCTTCCACTGACGAAACCCAAGGGATCGAGGTTCCTCCCCGACTCCCTACAAACTCGAATCTAGGGTGTCCAGCCGGGCTAAACTGGATCACCCTACTACTGCAGTCCATTACAGCATTTTGCTTAACTAACCAATCCATGCCCACAATCAAATCAAAATCATACATTGGCAAAACTGCTAGGTCTATCCTGCTTTCTACGCCACCAATCACTATCTCGCAATCCGGACATCCTAACGATATGCATATCTTATCCATTAACGGCGTAGTCACACATAATTGCACTTCTAACAAAACAGGATTTAATCCAGCCACTTCAATAAACTGAGCAGATATAAATGAATGCGATGCTCCCGGATCAAATAATGCATACGCGACATGACCGCACAGCGAAACCGTATCTATGACCACGCCCGGCGCATTCTCAACTTCTCTTCGCGCCATGGCGTACACCCGTCCTTGTGCCGGCGGCCTGTTCACATTAGTCGGCGGCGGATTCCCAGCCCGATTCCCAACTCGGGGTTGATGCTGCATTGGGGGTCCTGCGGGGCGCTGCTGGGGACAACTCCTGATCTGATGGTCCATACTCCCGCATTTGAAGCAAGCCCCAAACCTGTTCTGCTGGTGATTCGGCTTTCCGATGTTCTTCCTGATCAGTGGGACAAATCTCCTGTTTCCCGCCATTAGTTTCTTCCCAAAACGGCTTTTGTCCTTAGCCGGTGCGAATCGCGATCCAGATGCGGCCGCTCTATCTACTTGCTCCCGCTCAATAGCCTGAGCTCTCTCATATAAATCCTCATAGGTCTTTAAATTCACAGGTATCAGCTGGCCGCGAATGTCGGCTTTCAGTCTATCCCGAAACCTTCGCGCCTTGTCCTCAGGGTGCTCCAACATCTTTGGCGCGAACCTCGACAGTCTCGCAAATTCTGCCTCGTATTGATCTACGGTCATCAATTCCTGGCGGAGCCTCATGAATTCTGCCAGTTTCCTTTCCCTGGCGCTCTCAGAAAAGAATTTTCCCATGAAAGTCTCAGAAAATACGGTCCAAGTTGGAGCGGTCCCTTCGGGAAATACCCTTCCTTTGGTGGCCTTCCACCAATCATCGGCGTTGTCCTGCAGTTGATACACAGCCAATGTCACCTTTTCGGCCTCGGTACACCCTAGCACTTCGAAAGCCTTCTCCAACCCCTCAACCCAACGGGGCGCGGCCTCAGGATCACCTTTACCATTGAACTTCGGCGGCTTTAATTTCAGGAACTGCTCTACTAACTTGGACATCGGCCTGCCCACATTCACTAGCGCTGGAATTGGATCCTCCTAATTCCCCTGATTCCCATTATTTCCATCATTCCCATTATTCCCATTAGCCCCATTGGCAGCAGCCATTGCGGCCTCAACAGCAGCAGCTATAGTGGCATCTCTCTCTTGGGCTAGTCTACCTCCCAGAATTCCGGCTTCCTCGAGAGCCCTCAAAATTCCATCCACTCTTGGGTCTTCAGCAACCCTCGCTTGCGGACCTATACGACCTCGACCTCGACCTCGACTACTCAAACTCATAAGATCACACCACTCACTTACCTGCTATAATCCCATTTAGGAATTAGAGACCTAAACCAAGCTAAACCGGTCTAAGGTCCTAGGCAGGTATACACAACAGTAGTCAAGCAACTAGCATGCGACCTTACACAACAGCACAACATCTCAACCAAGGAGATTCGCGTACTTACCTCGGGTCCTGCCGCACCTGCACTTTACGGTCAATTCGACAACTAGTCAATCACTACACAAACAGTCAGGAGGTACACGTAGCATGCCAGGTCTCCTTACTGGCTACCCAAGGTCATCGCTCCTTATCACTCCAGGCTTCGACCGAAATGGATCGAGCTGACCTTGCTCTGATACCAAATCAAACGGGGGATGTCACGCCCCGAACCCTATGGCACGCGACAACCCTACCGAGGTCGATTCAGTGCGACGTCCCAGGACGCGTCGCCGACCCAACACCCAAACGACAGAGAACGATGCACAAGCGGAAGCAAACAAACACCCGTACAAATTAAAACCGCATGACCAAAGATAGCAGTAATACCATAAATATAACTTGCACTAATAACGGGGATTTACAATGTCTATTAAAACAGAATAAACATATAAAAGCCAAAACGGGTCAACAGCCACCAACGTCAAAAGGGGGTACGTGGCTCGGCGGTCAAGCACTATATCTAGCCGGGCTCCTCCCAAAACGTATCGGTACGCCTGCCATTCTCAAGGCTGGGGGTCTGAAAAGTTAGTTTTCAACAACAGTGAGAATAAATCTCAGCGAGTAGGCCCCCTAAACCTAAACTAGGCTAACATGCACCTCATGATAAGCACTAATCAACACACCAAGCAAATCATAAATAACTTAGGCCCTCGGGCCCAAATCCAATACTCACCTTGCCCTGCAGGTTAGGCACTTACAGTTCAAGAATAAAACATAGCACCCAATCACAGCACATGCACACATCACTTGGTCATAACGCATGTCATGCTTATGCTCGTGCTCATACGCGTGCTCACGCCTCATCAATGCATTTTCGCACGCTTGCACTCCAGCACACTTGCAATTATCAATTTCTCCTCCGACCCCCGTTAAACGCATCAGGTCCGACCCGCGTAAAACGCATCAGGTCCATCACTTCGAGATCGATCTCCAGCCCGCGTCAAACGCATCAGGCTCATGACACATAACCCGCGTAACACGCATCAGGTTGGTCATCTTCTAGTAATCCGGGCATCGTCCCGCGTAACACGCCTCAGGACGGGTTCACTACCCCGCATAAAACGCATCAGGGCTTTATGTGATCACTCATTCACAAACACCAATTGTTATCTGAACCCCGCGTAAAACGCATCATGGCATTTTAGGTGATCACACACTCATGTCATTCGTGCACACTCATATATGCACATGCCATGCCAATGCTCGAGATGCACACTCATGGCCATAACGTTCACACTTGGGCATTCAAGAAATTCACAATGAGCATTCAATTGCACAACACCACTTGTTCAATTCATAACGCAATATGCCCAACGTACACCACACATATTCAATTTAATGAATCGATATGCCCAATCAGTCAATCAATTCAACTCAGCCATGGTACATCATCGGCACACGGAAATCACGCAATTAAGCCATTAAACTCGCACAGGTCTAAGGTCCACCAAGTCTATCCTTTCTCAGCCATATAAGTACTCAACAAGGCATCGCAAATTGATCACAACCAAAGACAATTCAGCCAATCCAATAGTTAATTCAACCATTTCCGGTAATCACACAATCAAGCTTCAAATTGATCGCGCCTTGTCCAATTAAATCCCGGTATGGAAAGCCACCAAGCAGGTCATTCTAGGCCAATAAATATCCTCAAAATACTCTATTAGACTCCCCAAAGCATCACCCGAATCAGCCACCTTGAGGACCAAACTAGACGCGTACTATAATCCACAATTGAACCCGAACTTAACCGAACTCGATCCAATTCAATCCAATACTTCCAGCCATCGCACAGCACATTACGGGCCACTAATCCTCAATTAAATTGTCACACTAAGCCCGTAAAATAGCCACAAAATCAGCCACCATACGGTCCACAAATTTCATCCGCCAAGTCCACAATTTCACCCAATTCAAGGCATCTATGCTTCGCCACATCACAACACTCTATAGACCACTAAACCTCGATTAAATCATCACTCTCGGTCACTAAATGCGCCACAAATTCAGCCCCTAGCAACCTCCACTCGGTCCTCAATTTGCACCCGCCAAATTTACATTTTCGCCCAAATTAAGGCGCCTATGCACAGCCACCGCACAGCACTATACGAGCCACTAAACCTCAATTAAAATATCACACTAAGCCCGTATAATAGCCACAAGATCAGCCCCTAATAATCTCAACGATTCAACCCCTAAAATACCCTAATTAACCCTGAAAACCCGTCTAGAAATGTAAATTAGCCTAATTAGGGTTTATGGTTGTACTCACTTGGAATCCTAAGCTCCAAGCCAAGCTGAACAAGCGGCAAAGGCGGCTGGACAGCGGCGGTTCCGCGCCGGCACAGTGGCGGCGAGGTGCGGCTCCGGCGAACGGCGGCGACGGTCTAGGCGATTCCACGGCCTAGAGAGGGAGAGAGGGACACGGCCAGAGAGAGAGATCAGGGCTGAGGGAGAGGGGCGAACCGGCGGCGACTCGCGGCAGCGGCGGCGAACGGCGGCAAGCCGAGCTCGCGTGCCCGGGAGGAGAAGAAAGCCAAGCCGGGGCGGAGCTGCCGGGCGACACAGCGGCACGACGGCGGCGCGAGGAGGACGGCGGCGCCGGTAGCTGGTGGGGCGGCGTCGGGCAGAGGTGGAGGACGGTCGAGCGGCGGGCTGCGGAGGCGGGGAGGAGCTGCGGAGGTGGACGGGAGTCGGGGGAGAGAAGGGAGCGACAAGACGACGGGGGCGGCCGACGGGAGGCTTTGGCGGCGGGTCGGGCGGCGCGCGCGGCGGTCGAGCAGCGACGGTGGCGCGCGACGGTCGAGCGAGCTCGGGCGATCGGCGTCGGGCAGCGAGGAAAAGGAACGAGAAGCGGACGCGAGAGGGCCGGGAGCAGGCGGCGGAGAAGAAGAAAGAGAAGAAAAGGAGAAAGGAAGAGAGAGTGTGTGTCAGGGTAGGTCTGCATGGGCGTGGCTGAAGGGATGTCTGCATTGGGGGGGAGACGTGGAGAAAATATTAGGTGAGTTTAATACTCCATGTCACCCATGCAGCACACCATTGAAAAGTTGACATCTGGCAATCCGGGCCCACCTTCTGACTCCTCTGTCTCTCTCCCCTGCTCCGTTGCTTTTGCGTTTATCGGACGTTATCTCTCTCTCTCTCAGTTCAGGACTCCGTTGCTTCCTCTCCGTCCCCCTGCTATTCCCGCTCGACCTGAATCTCCGGAGCCGGAGCCGCATGGGGCACCTCCGACGGCACGATCTCGAGGATCTCCTTCGAGATGGGGGCGTGGCGGCCGACGCGTCGAGGTCGGCGCGGTGCTTGGCGGCGCCCTTCCCGCCGTCGCACCGGTGGGAGGTGAGGCAGAAGGAGAGGAGGAAGAGCGCGACCATGATGAGGGAGCCGAGGAATATACCGACCGACCCACAGGAGGAGGACGAAGATGGAGGTCGGCTTGGACAGGTTGGTGTTCACGAACGACAAGTTGTAGACCGGCATCTTCGCATCGACCCTCCGCAAGAAAAAAATCGGGCCTTTCGGCGAACGGAGGCATGGGTGGTTTCAATCGTGAAGAAGAAGGGAGAGAGAGAGAGAGAGAGCGGAGCCGTGAAAGGAGCAGTGCAAAGAAGACGAGGGAGAGTGGGAGAAGAGAGGGAGTGTCCGTGCATCTAACGGAGGGAGGAGATGAGGGAAAAAGTAACGGAGAGACAGAAAAAAGTAACGAAGAGACAGAGGAGTCAGAAGGTGGGCCTGGATTGCCAGATGTCGACTTTTGAATGGTGTGATGCATGGATGACGTGGAGTATTAAACTCATCTAATATTTTCTCGGGAGACGTGCGCGGCCAGAGGAGAAAAGAGAAAGGAAAAGAAAGAGAGAGGGAGAGAGAGAAAGAGAGAGAGAGGGAGAGAGACGTGCGCGAAGGGACATTGCACGGGGGTGGGTGGCGCGGCGCAGAGGAGAGAGGAGAGAGAGAGAGGAAGAAAAAGCTAATTTTTGTCTTCGAGCGCGATCCAACGGACACGGTTTAAACTAAAAATCGATTTAACGGTCACGATTCAAATTCGGAAAATGATCTAACAGTCCACGAAAAATCCCAAATAATACTATAGGACAAAGGGCCAAAATAAAATAACTCAAAACACACTACGAGGGAGATATACTAGTCCAAATGCGCACCCGGTCAAAATTTCACTTTCTCACTATTCTTGATAATCTCGACGTTGGCCACAATAATATCGATACCGTCCAATTTATTTCGTCCCGAAACTCCCGAAAATCGACTGCCAAGTTCGGGATCTAAATAACGGCCAAATTCGATCGAGTGCGATTCTAGCAAAATCTCTATTTTAAAAACAAGAACCCGAGAGTGATCAGTTCCCGGGCGAGATTCTATTATAAGCGTACTGACGAATTACACGTTTTATAAATTCCAAAAATGGGCCGAAATTCGGGATGTCACATGAAATTTCAGGATGAGGTATTAGTTCACCATCTAATAAAAACTTATGAGAGGATATGTGCTATTATCTTAA